TCTTCAAAGTATTCTTAATCAACATATAATACTTTACCTTTAAGGCTAGCACTAATCTAATAGTATAAACTATTTTTTTTAAAATTTGATTTCAATTACTATTAGACATTCCCTCTAACTTACTACTCTCTAATGTTTGCCTTCAAGCTTACTACTCTCTAATGTCTGATCAGGTTTATTACTCTCTAATGCCTGATCCAATATTTGTTGTACTAATAGATCTTGAATTGTATTTTGTCATAACATAAAAACCTATCCACCAACAAAGTTTGAACTAAAGGTCTATAGAATTTTGGCAAAGATGAAATAGAATTAAAGCCTTCTCTTCATTTTCTAACTCATCAACAGAAATTACCAGCAATTGAAAAACTAACCTATTAAATTAATTCAGGTGATTATGAAACATGCCCTTTCTTTCATCTTTAAAGAATACAGATCCATCTTCAAACATAATTTGTTAGTCAATGACTTTAAAATATAAATATTCTCAAGCTTATCCCACAAACTCTTTGGAGTATTTTTAGTTAACACATTGTACTTTACCTCTAGGGCTAGCGTTAATCTAATAATACGAATAACTTTTTCTTGAATTCTATTCTAATTACTGTCAAACATTCCATCAGACTTACTATTCTTTAATGCCTACCCTTAAGCTTACTACTCTCTAATGCTTGATCAGGTTAACTACTCTTTAATGCTTGATCCAACACTTATTGTATTAACAAATCTTGAATCGTATTTTATCATTATATAAGAACCTACCTACTAACAAAGTCTAAACTAAAGGTTTATAAGACTTCAGTAAAGATAACAATAGAATTAAAGCCTTATCTTTATCTTTTAACTCATCAATAAAAATTTTCAACAATTGAAAAACTAACCTATTAAACTCATTCAGGTGATTATGAAGACTCGCACTTTCTTTCATCTTTAAAAAATATAGATCTGTCTTCAAATATAATCCGTTAGTCAATGACTTTGAAGCGTAAATACTCTCAAGCTTATTCCACAAACTTTTTGAAGTACCTTATTTTACCTCTGGGGTTGGCGTCAATCTAATAGTACGAACAACTTTTTTTTTAATTTTATTCTAATTATTGTCAGATATTCTCTCAGGCTTATGACTCTTTAATGTTTGATTCAACCCCACATGTTGGAAAATCAATGTGCATGTGCAATATCAACACATATAAACAATAGAGCAAGCCTAAAATAAGAATAAAAATATACAAATATATTTATTTCAACCTAACCCAAAATGGCTTACTTCAAACCGAATCCACTAACAAATAAAAAGTAAGCCTAAAATAAGAATAAAAATACATAAATATATTTATTTCAATCCAACCCAAAATTACTTATTCCAAACCCAATCCACTAACAAATAAATATTTATAATTGTGAGACTTTTAAAATGAGAAAAGTCACAAAAAGCTTTTTACTCAAACTTAACCCAAAATCTAATTACACCATTTTAATAGCCTACTCACTTAGCTATTCTATTGGTGTCTAACTATCTAAGATTGCTAAATTAAAACCAAAGCATTTTATTTATAATGGTGAAACCTCTATAACTTTACTAAACTTTTGATGTGGCATACAAGACAAACTCACAACTCTTATAACTTTATTAACTTTTGTTATGGGATTATGAGATTCTAAGCAAATCTAAACAAATCTCCATTGACTTGAATCTCTAAACGTTTCAACAATATCTATAAAGCTTATATGCTTGACCTTTTTCTTTTCTTATGACATGCTTGCCTTTCTTTTTTTTTTTTTTCGTCACATGAATCTCAGTAACTGAGTCTTCATTAAGCATATATAAGTGATTTTTGATCATATTCCCTTATAGAATCACACTACCATT